AATTCTCCATTCCTCAAAGGATTTAGGCAATTGGGTTGGACCGATTTGGGTTGGCATTAATCCATATTTTCCGGTATGTTCTTCTGTATATGTCCGCTTATACTTAAGAGGTTTTGTGTTATTTGTAATAAATTTATTTTGTGACTTTTCAAAAGTTCTAATGTCAGCCCGTCCGAAGGAGAAGGATATATTATATATCTGTGTGTTTGATCGCAAATGGATTGTGCGAATTAAACCTGAATAGGACATAATCAATATAATAATTAAAATGAGGTATTAATTAAAGCATGCGTACATATATTAGGCCGTTGGTGAAGAATAATTTGTTGGTTATACCGAAAAATTATTTGCTGTAATATGATGTGCAAAATTTGAAAAGTAGCACGGAATTCTGCTTGGTTCCGGAAACCAGTATAGAAGGTTAGTCAATAGAGGTTAAAAATGATTTTTGTCGCTATAAATATATGTATCTCACCGTATTTCCTGTCGTTATATAATTTATTATGCAATTTAAATTAGGTGGTCCCTAAGGTCATCACGAAGTATAGCAATTACGGACGCTGTTTGGATTTAAACCTTGGCACAAAATTTTAATGTTAACATAATTGATTAAAAATTAATTGAAAAAACTATATTTCCCAAACTGGCTTTTGGCGCTTTGTTTGAGCATTAGTTCAATTGTTGATAGCTTTACTTATCGGATCGAGCTGAAACCAAGTGCAAATTGTTCAGCAACGTTGCCTAGCATAAATTCGCAAAAGAATAATTTTTCTTCATTCGTCCCTTTTCATAGCAACCGTCAGTATAGGCTTCAAAGTTGCTGTTAAAAATCTGATCAGTTTGTCGAATAATCCGCATATTAAGAATAATATGACGTGGGTCTGACATCTGTACTCGATCAACACTTGGGTATGTTTCCTGGTAAATGTTCTAGAATCAACCTGAAGGGTTATACGATGGTTATTTATGGCACGTAAGCTTTCCATGCCGAGAATTTTCCATTCTCAATAATTGGCACTAAAATAATTAGGGATGATTGCTTTCTTTGTAATGTGTCGTTTCAAATTGTAATATACTAACGCAACTGAACAAATAACCATTCGTGCATAACTTTTATAAATTGTTTGCAGCATTGCTTGGCAAGGCCAGGTTAGATAATAAGTAATTCCACAGGATTTAATAATTAATGAAAAAAATTGTGGATTAAGAATTCTAAAAAGGATTGAAATACAATCGAGGAAAAGAATCCAGTACAAAACAACAAAACACTTAAATAATAAATGTTAGAATTGGAGAGAGGGATGATCTAATTGCAAAGAAATTTTAAAATCTGTCGAATTTTTTGCCATTTTGATTTTGCATATTTACGAGGGATTTACATATTTATATAGTTACTAAATTTCGTATAAGTATTTATATATGCAAAAGTTTGGGCAAATACTAAATAAATCTAAGTTATCAATTGAGTCGAATTGAATTTAATTGACACATGATTAGTCTCAAGAACGACATTAAAATTGTCCTGCCTTCGAGACGGTGGGTGGAGGGATGTTTATGCAACAACTCGTTAGCATAGATAACTGAAAATATGAAGTTTTTTCCGAATGTGTCTCAGAACTTTAACAAGTAATGCAAATTGTAACGGAATTGAATTTGAATGAATATAATCCTGCACCGTCGTTCAACAAAATTTTGTTCGAAAGCTCACGAATCAAATAAAATTATATTTGAGACTCTCAAGTCATGTCTAATATATGTCTCGCGATACCACATAAATCCCGTTATAAGTTCTAAATTTATTGAACTATTCATTTATTCAAGACCCAAAAACTAGTAGAAACACTTTTCCCATCCTCCGCAACAAAAAAGTTGCTAGGAAACAGCACAAATTTAAAGCATCCTGGGGAATAATTTAATTACATTTATGCATCTACTTAATTATCTTAAATTCCAATAACATATATACATTTACATAATCAAAATGTATTCATCGGGAACGAGACGTTTCCACATGTCCACATGTTATGAGGTCAGGAGACAGTACCAAATTATAAATCATACGGATGTATTTTATCGCACCCTGAAACCAACTCACTACGTGGCGAATTTATGGACAACTTTGACAACTGTGCTCGTTTTATAATTTTTGCCCTAAAAGTACTTCCAGCTAGATATGTGCGTGAATATTTATTTACTTACAAGCATTAGAACATTAACATGAGGCAATCATTATCACATGAAATGTCACCTGTCACATGAAATGGTTTCGATAAATTCGAAAAAGCGCCAATGGCCACACCCACTGGGGGTGTGGTTTCTAAATTTCAGTAATGCAGACTCAATCTCCTCGTCGAGCTGATGAAAATGATATATCACATGACATGGTTTCATGTACATCGAAAAGGCGCGGAGAACCACACCCCCTGGCGGTGTGGTTTCAAAATTTTACTTACTCAGTCGTAATCTGCTCGTCGAGCTGAGAAAAATGATATGCCACAACCCATGTTTTGAATACAATCGGAAAGGCGCCGAGAACCACACCCCCTGGGGGGTGGCCAAGTGACCATTTGAAATTTTTATCGGTGACCTGGGTGTTGGGGTATTTTTTCGACATGCGATTCGATTTTTATATATTGAAATTCCGCTTCAAGAATTTATTTTATTTTACGTGTTTTTTGAACTTGTGACCTTAATTTCGAGGGGGTGTAGTCGAATTTGAAAAATCTGGGAATATGTATTTCGCCAATTGACCTAAGGTTTTCAAAACAGGCGGTATTTTGAAAATCGGTCTTCAGTTGAAAAAGTAATTCGAATTTCAAATTTCAATGTTGTTAAGCATTACAAGATCGGCCAACAAGCCTCTCAGCAAGATACAGACTAAATTGTCTCTAATTTAAATGCCTCGACCATAGAAAGATGAGGATATTTACTCAACGATATTCACCCCAGTATCGATACTCCGGTGAATTCATTTTAATTGTTTGATTTATTAATACATAAATAATAAATTTCCATCATTTGATGTGTAGCCCAATTAAATATTTTGATGACGTCGCGTTGTATGTATTCAATTCAATGTAAATACATACACTGCTCAGAGTGATTGATGCCTACAAAATACATATTTAGCAGTTGCAACAACTTAAAAATAAAATGATTCTTGGTTAATTTTATAAACTAAATCAAAATAAAATCAGCCATTATTTTATGTAATTTTATATACTTACGCTTGGCATGTGCTTATCCATTCATGCATAAAATCTCATCTTGTTCATATGCATGTAAAGATGTACATATGTAAATTAATTAGCATTACAATAAACCGCATGTACATAAAATTCGTTCAAATTTTGCAAAAAGGTGCAATATTAAAATTTCCAATACATTAATCATAAAGACAAATAAATCGTAAAGAATACCGAGAACTACGTCTGCAAACCATTGAGATAAAGGCTGAAATAAGTAGAGGTGCATTTCGGAACTTACTTTTGATACACACGTCCCAAACATAACTTTTTTCCGATTTTGGATTTTTTTTTAAATTTTGCACTCCTTAAATAAAAATCGTATAAAAGAAAAATGATTATGCACGTGAACCCCTAGTTTATTTTTCTACATAAAGAACGTCCGGGAATGAATGGGAATGGTCTGAAAATGTGGTCATAAAATCACAATGAGTTATCGGAATTTTAAACTTTTTGCATATGTATAATACCAAATACGTACCTACATAATTTAATTAATAGCTAAGGCCGCCACACCCCCGTTGGCGACTAGTTCGATTTTCTTGCGAAGATTTTTCATTAAATTTTTTCCCGAAGTTTTTGCCACTTCCGAGGTGATTTTCTTCCATCGTCCTTTGAATTTTCGAAAGGTGTCAGGCACATCTTGAAGCCGGGAGTATACTGACTTAGAACGTGCCCAGAATTTTTCGATTGGGCGGAGTTGGGGTACATTAGGTGGGTTGATATCTTTTGGTACGAAATCAATATTTTTCTTTCTGAGGTACTCGGTCACTTTCTTTGCATAGTGACAAGTGGCGAGGTCAGGCCAAAACAAAACTTTATCATTTTTGTGAAACCTATTAATAAATGCTTCCAATCCAGCCTTGACGCAATTTTTCAGATAAATATCTTGATTGATATTCCCTTCGAGAACTACCGGGTCTGATACATGTCCGTGACTGGAGATGCATTGCCAAATGCAATATTTCTTTGGAAATTTGTCTTTTTTTCGTACTTTTTCTTCATAAATGCCACTTCAGAGGGATCCGAGCTATGAAAAAAATGACGCCCTGGAAGATTTGAAGGGTCAACCGGAACATACGTTTCGTCATCCAGGATCACTACTTTTCCACGCATTTTCTTCAACAATTTTTGACAGCAATCCTTGATCCGACTTTCTTGTACGGGCTTGTAATTTGGTGCAGGTTTTTTGGTCCTTGCTTTGATTCCTAATTTATGGACCTTAATTTCCCCCAGGTAGCTTTTGGAAATTTTGACTTTCCTGGCAGCTACAGCTACTGACGTTGATGGCTTGGTTTTGAAAATTTTTTCAATTCTATTTTTCACTCGAGTGGTCGCTAGCTTCGCCGGACGACCAGCTGGCTTCTTGAATTGCACATTTTCGGAATCCTTGAACTTTTTTATGTAGGAATACACATTTGAACTTGGAATTCCTTCCTGCTTAAAAAAGTTCTAGGTCACCTTGGAGTCTCGGTTGGCTGTCGTGTTGTAGAACTCCATCACTCGTTTTCCTAACAGCTCCCTTTCAAACAAGCTTCTTCTACCCTTATCCATTTTTGAAATTTAAGAGTGATATACCAAATTGACCCTAATGAAGTGGGCTTTCAGAAATTTAAATTATTATAGTTCGCGGGTTTATTGATTTGTCAATATACTCGCTAGAGCGCGCATTCCCATTCATTCCCGGACGTTCTTTATTATCAAACAACTATCTGGGATCACGAAAATGCTTAAATTGCGGAAATCCGATCAAAATTGGATTTTTGATGAATTTTTGAACGTGATGATTTTCGTGTTTTTCGCGCCTTTGAGTGGGTGTGGCGGGCGCAAATGTGGCCATGGAGTCAAACCGTTTCAGGGTTTTAGCACACTCATGGGGTACTACAAGGTATCCAAAGGGCATCGGATTCTGTGAGTGGCAAGTGGTGAAGCTCCCCTCCTTAGTTTAATTTCTTATTTTATAAATATTTTCCCGTTCCCTACAATCCACAACTATCGGGTGCGTATGGAATTGCTGGTAGGTCATCGAGTCGTAATCCTCTCTCAAAATTGGTAGCACTTTGAAATCCCGCTTCCAAATATTGGATCGTGTCCACATCTACGAAGAACAAAGTCACTTCCGTCGCCCCGACCTGATTGGACCACGACATCATCCAGTAGTCAGTATCCCATGCAATGGTAAATGTTGCATTGGAACTCTGCGTTAGCCAACCATGACCCCAAATGCCGTACTCGACGTACAATTGTGGCACTCCGTCCAGATTCGTCCGCATCGTGATGTTCATCTCGCCTGCGAGGAATTACTTCATTAGTGAATTGGTTGTTAAATATTTATTAGCGTAATTTTGTAAAATACCGTTGAAACCACTCCCAAAAAGACCGACAGCCTCTTCCGGCTCAATTTTCAATTCGGCTCCTACATTTACTTGGTTATCATTTGCATACCTTCTTCGAACCGGGTACGGTCCGACGGTTAAGTCGGAGGGTTGACCAACCGGGGCAATTTGTGAACTCCGCTTTGCATTTCCTATATATAAATTATACATACTCACAAAAACTGGTTACAAAATTTACCGGATGCACAAAACCTTGAAGTGTGTCGAAAATATCGTTCACTAAAACATTGACGGGGTACAGAGTCCCGGAAACTGAGCCAGGTCCATTCATAACGATGAAGATGCCCAAGTTCAGCGTTGGGAAGATATGCATCGAACTTTCGTACGGAGTGATGTAGCCACCATGACTCAGGCGAAGCCAACCTGACCAAAAAATTGATGATAATAATTCTCCATAATTTCAATTTGCTCCAAGAAATTATTACGTATCTTCTCACAAACCGTCATAAATTCCTACATTGAGACAAAGGCCATACGCCACGTTCAGGTCGACTGTGGCATTTGGATTATCTCCGGTTTTTATGACGCCGCGGAATTGCATGTTGGATGGTGTGGTCAACCAGCTCATGACGTTCTGGGCGCCAGAATAATAATTATAATGTGTAAATCAGGCATTAATTTTCATACAAATTTTACCTCTGGGACGATCTGCTGGTCTCCTACTTTGCCCAGATTTAGATGAAATTGCATATACTTGAGCATATCTAGAGGAGAACTTAAAATTCCCCCCGCAGCATTTACAATCACTACGGACCTGAAATAACCAACATGTTTTAACTTGTTTAAATAGTCATAAATAAATATGTAAATAAGTACTTGAGCAATTCCGAATTGTAGCGGAGGAGTCCGCCATCCTTCCTCAGTATGGAACTGAGCGACCCATCATGTTATTGTGGTCGTCGGTGTCCTTCACCCAGGTCGTCTCATTCATCCCAATGGCGACAAGTAATTCGGACAACTAAATATTCAAACGTCATCATAAATAAACCGTTGTAACGTTAAAAGTAGCTCACCCTGTAGTACTGATTTCGACACAATTTTGCACCAATGGTGCAGAATATGCAGATAAAATACATAAGCGATTTTGGCAAAATTTTACATTAGTGGTGCAGAATATGCGGAGCAAAGATATATGTAATTGGGATATAAGGTAAGGATTATGGGAAGCCGATCACTTTAAACTTTAGCTGGGATCTAGTCAAAAATCAGGTTTAGGAATCCAAATTTTTGGTATGATATTACAAATATATCGAACTACGAATCCTCAAAATTTCTTAAATTTTCATTGGCAAACAAATTTCCTACACGATTCCAAAGCGAAGAATTCGCGAAATGAGTTTTTTGTAAGTACCAGAATTCGTTTCTCGAGGGTGAGGAGAATGCCTGACTACATTTCAAGGAAGACGGGTATGTTTCGGTAAAAATTAAGACATACATAAAAAAGTATGTAGAATCCGAAAATGTCAACCTCAGAAAAGGAATATGAAAAGAAAACACTATAACAACCCCACGAAAGTTAAAAACGATTAATTTGTTTTTTGGAAAGTACGCATCAAAGTCCGTGTCTGGTGTGGCGAAAAAGTTAAAGACTAATTCAAACTGATTGTACCACATTAAACACCATAAATTGAGGGTTTAAGCGCATAAAGAAAAATGTTCAGAAAAATACACGGAAGCTCAAGAAAATATGATAAACGCAACATGTTCCAAGCTTTGCAGCAAAATTTCACCAGAAGATTTGATATTTCACGACGAGTCCCACGTCTTTAAAACACAGACAAAAAATATGGGAAGGCCATTTTTCCACCCCAAATATCCCACGAAAGTGAAAACCGACGAGAAAATAAAATTTTCTTTCAAATTTCCGAAAAAATCTGTAATTTAGCAGGTGATGGTTCAATTTGGCCATATTTCGCACCCTTGCATATATGGTGGTCGTATGAATGCCAAAATAGATTTCAAGGAATTTGTGATAGGTCATCGTATTCCCCACATCATTAGGTATAAAAAAATGCCATATAAGTTTTTGACCCGACCGTGCTAAAATCTACAGTGCAACATCCATCTAGGAAGAAATCGAAAAAAAATATCAGTTTGATGTTGAAAAATGAAAACCTCATCTACATCCTTCATCTTCGTCAAAAAAATAAAATTTGGCCTCTATGTAAGAAGAAATACTTCTAGGTTCGTGAAACAGTCGATACTTTAAGAAAATTTCATTTCTGATTGGAGAAAATTAACAACGAAATTGCAAAGTCTTCCGAAAAACAACGAATGAAGGATGTGACGAAAAAGATTAAATATGAAGTGGATAATGGATTAAAGTATTCTATGTTTACGGATATTGTGAACAATAATATTTATAATATCCTAGCAAAATTTGTGATTTTTAGAATCATTTTTTGGCCCTCTAAAGGTCAAAAATCCAAGTGATCGGGTTCCCATAATCCTTACTATAATTTTGCACCAATGGTGCAAAATACACGAGGGAAGAGAAACCAGGATTTTGACATAAAACCTTAAAAAAGTAGACGCAAAATCATAGGTGTTTCTGACGGTTCTTCTGCACTTTTGGTGCGTTTAGCATCTATTTTCTCAATTGTTTGGCACCATTTTGAATCACCGATTGTTCGATATCAGTGGTGCTAATAACTCGGTCATGAATGCCAATAACTGGCTCTAATTAGCATGAATTGATGCAAAAGAGTCGTTAACACACAGACGGACGGACGGACAAGAGGAATTCAATAGCTCCTCTGCTACGCAGGGTGAGCTAATAAACCGTTGTGACGTTAGAAGTAGCTCACCCTGTAATAATGATTTTGACATGATCTTGCACCAATGGTGCAGAATAGGCGGACAAAATATATACGCAATTTTGGTATAATTTACATTAATGGTGCAGTATAAGCGTACAAACGATGCAAATAATTGTGTCTAACTTTGCACCAATGGTGGAATTTAAACGGTTAAAGTAAATCCATAATTTTGACATAAAATCTTAACAAACTTTACGTCAAAATTATAGGTATTTTTTCGGGTTGTTCTGCACTTTTGGTGCGTGTTGTATTAATTCCCTGAATTGTTTCGCACCATTTTGAGTCGCCGATTGTTCGATATCGGTGGTGCCAACAGGTCCGTCACAAATGCCAATAACTCGCTTTAATTAGCATCAATTCACGCAAAAGAGTCGTTAACAAACAGACAGACAGACAGACAGACGGACGGACAAGAGGAATTCAATAGCTCCCTTGCTTCGCAGGGTGAGCTAATAAACCGTTGTAACGTTAGAAGGAGCTCACCCTGTAATAATGATTTTGACGTAATTTTGCACCAATGGTGCAGAATAGGCGTATAAAATTGATATGCAATTTTCGTATAAGTTTGCATTAATGGTGCAGAACAGGCGGAAAAAATATATACATAATTGTGACATAATTTTGCGTCGATGGTGGAAAATAAAGGAGGGAAAACAAACAGTAATTTTGACATGAAATTTTGACAAATTCCAAGTAAAAATTATAGTCATCTCATCCGGTTCTACTGCATGTTTGCTGCGTTTTGCATCTGTTCCCTCAATTGTTTGGCACCATTTTGAGTCTCCGATTGTTCGATATCAGTGGTGCTAATAAGTTGGTCAAGAATGCCAATAAATGGCTCTAATTAGCATGAATTGATGCAAAAGAGTCGTTAACAGACAGACAGACGGACAGACGGACGGACGGACGGACGGACGGACAAGAGGAATTCAATAGCTCCTCTGCTACGCAGGGTGAGCTAATAAGGCATCATTATTGACTTAATTAATTACAAGTCTACCATATCGGTAAAGGTTGTGTTTCCCATGTACGCAATGATATCTCCAGCCATCCCGATCAACCCATTGTTGTAGGCGAAGCCGTCTCGAAAGCTGCAGTACTCGGGAGCGTAGCGGTGTCGACTATGCACAAAATTTTATAACAAAGTTTCCCAAATATCGTAAAAAAATGATTTTTCTTATCTTACTAATATATGTCATCCGAACCGGTATAAGATTGAACAAACATGCCTGGCAATTCTGGAAATGTGCAGACCTTGTGGGACAAAAGGTCACGGAAGGTCGTACTCTCCGTTCTATATCTGTATTTGAGTACATTTTGATAAATGTCATAAAATTACAAACTATTAACTAAACCTACTCTAAATTTTACCTGTCACTCAAGGTAAAATTATATCCAGGTGCTAACACTCGAATCGGGGTGTCCAAAACAGCCACGTCCAATTCCAAACTGGACAAGTGGACCAGGGGCGTTTGGTAGTTATACATATTCAAGCCTTATCGTAACAAGCACGTGATAGTGGTTGGCTTATCGAAATGATAAGTGAATATTTAATTACAATTATAATGGGATGATTCTGTCAAGTGTGCATGCGCTTAATTAATTAATTATAATAAAATATTAAAGTGGAGAGCATACCTTACACAGTTTTTAATTATTTGTCTTGTTGCTCATACAGGTAAAATGGTGATGTGCATGGTTTAATTGATTGATTTGATACCGCAGATATTTAGGTAAGAGCTTATCATTTAGATCGTCTCCGCTTTTGTAGTTGGGTAGTTGCGACGGTCGTGTTTAATCACACTGTTTGATTCACATATGCATAATATATGTAAATATGAACACGAACAATAAAACGTGATTTGAATCTCCAGAAGAATTAAATTCACAAATTTTGTCATCCATCATGGCAAAATTCACATGAAGGTTTCGCTCGCCAAAAGTGGGGGTTTGGGCGAGCCAAACTTATAATCTATAAGAAACATGGGGAAAAAAACTTATCTCGTCAGTACCTAAATTTGTACCAGCATACATAGATAAAATATTTACCATCCCGTTTAAAACGTCTTACATACTTAAATATGCTAACGTTAATAGTATTTAATAAATAGATTACAAATTTTGCTTTATGCATGGGAATGTTATGCAGTTATTCATTACCCCACTTGACTTTTTTCATGAATGGTGACTTACATATGTATGCCTATGAATCTGTAATGAGTTTTATGTAGTTTAATTGGATGATTTATCAATAAATTTAAGGGAATATGAAACAAAAATATTTATTTATTCCTCCAAAAATCTACACTTGGTCAAATCGATTCAAAATACGAATGCACCCACCAATGTTGCACGTATTTAGAAATAGATGGCAAATAAACAAAAATTTTGTAAAAATTGAACAAATTTAAAAACCAATTTAACAAAAAACGAATTATGATTATTACCAAAAATAATACAACTGGTTCGTGCTCGGGGTTGTGGTGTCACAAGCCCACACAGTCATGGCAGCCCCCTCATTAGTTTGACCTTTAGAAACCGAGAGGCATTTCTTCGTCCCGACATTCTCGATGAACCAATACGTCTAAAATTATGTACACGAAATGAAATCAAGGTTATTTATTTATGAATAAAATAAGAAAATTCCCCTCCTAACCCGATAGTCCCAACTTTGATTCATTTCCCATAATTGGTATGGATTATACTCCGACGAGCAGGCGTACTGATAGACGTGAATTTGTTGAAATTCATCCTCATCCGTGCTACCACCTCGAGGCCCGGCGGTGAGACATTTTCCAGATAAGCGATTCACTAAAGCGTACCTTCCCGTGTTGGCGGACTGAAATTATGTAGCATAAGAATTTTTTTATTTGAATGAAATTTATGTTAATTTTATAAATTCATGTATGCAACTTGCATTAGCCCAATCGAACGAACCAAAAGTCCATTTTTGATTAATTTTATGCTGGCAACCCCAAATATCGATGATGGCATCGTTCTCAAGATTGTCTCCGTGAAGGGTGACACATTTAGCGCTGTTATACCCGTAAAGTTCATACTCATCGGAGAGCTAGGGGTTAAAAAAGTTAAAAAAATGTAAATAAAATAAAATGAAACTTAAATTAAATTAATAAAATAATTCTTTAATTTAAACAAATGATTAAAAAGTAGATTAATTATTTTAAATAGATATACATATTTGGTTTGATTTAATTTACGATAATTTTTATTTTACTAACTATCGGTCTTCCGCTGTCCCATTGAAATATTTGGCCAGCATGAACTGACCCACTTGTTGCAAATGCAGCGATTAGGACGATGGTAAAACTGAATGGAGTGTTAAGATTTCTACCCATTTTTGATGAGCTTTGTTTCCTAAGAGAGTCGAGCAAGACTGGTGAATATTTGTGAGTGAATTTTGGGTTTTATGTAGGACAAGGTGACACTTTCCTTCACCTTTTCACTGGCAGGAGGGAAGAAATGATTCACTGGAATTTTGTGGCCCTTGAACTTGACCCATATTTAGGAAAAGGTACATAGATATTGTAAACCTTAAGGTGCTGAGTTGACCTAGATTCAACTAAGCATGGATTTTACCCAAAGTACGATTTGTTGCATGAAGTGTTGAGTTCTTTCATTTGTTCATAAACCCATTCGTATTTATTATTGGCCATGGCAGTAATAAATACGAAAGAGTTACTTGTGGTCCAATGATTTTAAATGGAAAAAGAAAAGTTCCCATTCAAGTGAAACAATTACATCCACGAATAATTTTTTTCCTGCTTGAAATTATTTTTATAAAATGTAAAGAACGTCCGGGAATGAATGGGAATGCGCGCTCTAGCGAGTATATTGACAAATCAATAAACCCGCGAACTATAATAATTTAAATTTCTGAAAGCCCACTTCATTAGGGTCAATTTGGTATATCACTCTTAAATTTCAAAAATGGATAAGGGTAGAAGAAGCTTGTTTGAAAGGGAGCTGTTAGGAAAACGAGTGATGGAGTTCTACAACACGACAGCCAACCGAGACTCCAAGGTGACCTAGAACTTTTTTAAGCAGGAAGGAATTCCAAGTTCAAATGTGTATTCCTACATAAAAAAGTTCAAGGATTCCGAAAATGTGCAATTCAAGAAGCCAGCTGGTCGTCCGGCGAAGCTAGCGACCACTCGAGTGAAAAATAGAATTGAAAAAATTTTCAAAACCAAGCCATCAACGTCAGTAGCTGTAGCTGCCAGGAAAGTCAAAATTTCCAAAAGCTACCTGGGGGAAATTAAGGTCCATAAATTAGGAATCAAAGCAAGGACCAAAAAACCTGCACCAAATTACAAGCCCGTACAAGAAAGTCGGATCAAGGATTGCTGTCAAAAATTGTTGAAGAAAATGCGTGGAAAAGTAGTGATCCTGGATGACGAAACGTATGTTCCGGTTGACCCTTCAAATCTTCCAGGGCGTCATTTTTTTCATAGCTCGGATCCCTCTGAAGTGGCATTTATGAAGAAAAAGTACGAAAAAAAGACAAATTTCCAAAGAAATATTGCATTTGGCAATGCATCTCCAGTCACGGACATGTATCAGACCCGGTAGTTCTCGAAGGGAATATCAATCAAGATATTTATCTGAAAAATTGCGTCAAGGCTGGATTGGAAGCATTTATTAATAGGTTTCACAAAAATGATAAAGTTTTGTTTTGGCCTGACCTCGCCACTTGTCACTATGCAAAGAAAGTGACCGAGTACCTCAGAAAGAAAAATATTGATTTCGTACCAAAAGATATCAACCCACCTAATGTACCCCAACTCCGCCCAATCGAAAAATTCTGGGCACGTTCTAAGTCAGTATACTCCCGGCTTCAAGATGTGCCTGACACCTTTCGAAAATTCAAAGGACGATGGAAGAAAATCACCTCGGAAGTGGCAAAAACTTCGGGAAAAAATTTAATGAAAAATCTTCGCAAGAAAATCGAACTAGTCGCCAACGGGGGTGTGGCGGCCTTAGCTATTAATTAAATTATGTAGGTACGTATTTGGTATTATACATATGCAAAAAGTTTAAAATTCCGATAACTCATTGTGATTTTATGACCACATTTTCAGACCATTCCCATTCATTCCCGGACGTTCTTTATCCGACACCAAAATAATTTTTTTTAATTTTTTTGGATATTTTCGAAAATTTTCTGACTATGGGTATGTCTTCGAAAAAATCAAAATTTCAAAAAAGTTGAGTTTGGTATTGGATATCATAAAGGAAGTGTCTGAGATGAAGAATATGTAATTTTTTTGAAAATCCGATCAAAATTGGATTTTTGGCGGATTTTTTAATGAACCAAAACAGAGTATTTTTCGTGTTTTTCGCACCTTTGAGTGGGTGTGGCGGACGCAAATGTGGCCATGGAGTCAAACCGTTTCAGGGTTTTAGTACACTCATCGGGTACTACAACATATCCAAGGGGCATCGGATTCTGTGAGTGGCAAGTGGTGAAGCTCCCCTCCTAAGTATGAAACATTGTTTTTTGAATTTTCAAGCATGCGAGTGTGATTTGACAGTTATCATACTTATGTATATATTTTTCAACGCACAGGACCGTTAACAAACTTAATATAAAATATATCTAGAAAAAAATGTGTACATCTCACCCACTTTTTGAATACTGTAAATATCGACAGTAATAAAGATTTTCACCATTTATGCAAATCTAATCTTATGAAAAAAATCCATAATTGCGTTTCAAATCGGGCTGTTTTTTTTCAGGAAGCAAAATCATTGCCTGGTTAATACAGTCTGAGAAAACTTTTGGTACCAACTTTATTCCGTCTGATCTTTTGCTCTGTAAAATATGGATATAATATAGATGTAAAAATTGAATATCTGAGGAAATTTGAAAATAACAAAGCACCATTTCATTAAATCAACTGGTGCCAACAGCAACATGTAATGCAGAAGCCACTATCTACATATAATATTAATGTGTTTATGCATATAAGTCTTACAATTACATATTTCCAAATAGTAAAGCACCATATGCTCAGTTTTAGTTAATTGATTGCAACATGAATACAAATTATATATTTATCTTAGCAAAAATTATGAAATTATGAACGGTTGTATGCTCTCTTATCGTCTAAAAGATCATCCACGAATTCAACCCGTTGACCCACTGTAATTAAATTTCAACCAAATTATGAGCTCCGCCGTATTATCCATTGTGTGATACAGGAACGTTGTGGCTGTAGAATTAACTATCCCAAAAAAAGGCCCAACATCCACCACAATTCTTCTCCAACACTTAACATCCTTCCGTTCCCACTTGAGCAGTTGATTTTTCTTAACTTTCCAAAACTTCCGAGCCTGTTCTGAACCCTTACTAACCGCTGCGGCAAATGGAAAAAGAACCTGTGTTGCGGTGCAAGCACCTATCCACATGAGACAACATTCCAGCTTGATCCCGATCGGGAGTTGGTCTACAGCCACGACCACGCTGCCAAGTAAGATGCACAACGTCATTCCCATCATAAATCCGATCGGGGCAATATAATAAACCAATTTGTTTCCTTCAAACATTAAAATTTGCAATTGGTCGTAGATCAGTTTATCGTTAAGGTATTCCTTAACTGGTCCGGATCCCCTAGAATTTTTTGGGTGGGACAAACTCTGAATTAACTTAATCAATAAGCTAAGCCCTACCCATACGGGCAACATTGCACCCAAATACACGAGGCTCCCATGGACAAAGATACTTCCTTGGATTACGGACCGTAGCAATTTTACCCACCAGGCCCTCGGAGCTAAGCCAGCTGTGCGAAATATGAAAAAACAGGGATCTCCGTGTCGCACTATGGGGTAAATAAATCCCACAGAACTTCCCAGCAACAGCGTACCAATCATTAAATGCATTGCAATCCCGATATAGTCCGATTTCCAGTTGGTCCAACGTTTCTGTTTAAATTTCCTAGTATTTACTCGCTGAGATAGATTGTGGCCCGCTCCTAGCCACCAGCAAAATTCCAGGTTCAAAGAAGCTAAAAAGTGCGAAATGGCAGTGCCGATAATCGAAGTGGCTGTCACGATACCCCAGACGAGGGCGACACCGTGATGGAAATCCGGGTCGTTTGGGGAACCTCCAATTATTTTGTGGAGAATTAGAATTATTGTTGAGATAAGGATTGTAATCATTCCAAGGTTCATTGTGATCCATGGAATTAGTTTTGAGATTGGGGTGGGGGTGGGGGACATTGTGGGTGTGTCCCATACCCAAGGTGGGGGGTAGAGGTGTTTGCAGATGGTGAGGTACCGCTTAACCGCAAGCCAGCTCCCGTAAGTTGCCATTGGGAAAGGTTTGTGAACTTCAAACCTTCAAACTTTGAAGGCTTTATGGTTAGAAGGTTTGTTCCGAAGGTGGGCTCTCAGCGTGATATACGTATATAGTAACTTATATAACAAATAATTAGATAAACTTTATAAAGTTGGCTGTAATCAAATATTTATAAATTTAGAAATGCTGAACATACTTATCCGCTTTATCTGCATAATCTGATAGTTGCGCATAGATAGGTAATATTTGTTAACAAAAAATATGCATTTATACCTTATATGATTCGCCTGTGTATTCTTCTGGAGTTTTTCGTTTGGAATAGAATGACTGGTCCCACATCCACGTTGATGACGTTTATTCGTTTGACTGTTTAAAGGTTTGCAACGTTTATGCAAATCGTGCATATCTCTCAAACTGTGCATATCAACACAACACACCGGTGAAGTTTTTTTGGTGTCTGTGAGTCTATGCAAAATGTTTAGTATGATATCCATGTATTCCTTCTTCCAAACTTTACCCTGTGAATCCACACGTTTCGTAAAAGTTAGCAAAATGAGGTCCGATCCTCAACAAGACGCTGCCATGAGTAGGCCAATAAACTTATTTTTGGATAATTGGAATACACGGAGGTATAGTGGAAATTGGAGGAAAAGTATTGGTTTTATTATCGAGCTTTCCAGTTTGAATCTACACTCTTTTTCAAGATTTACCTATTTATTTTTTTCTGCGGTTTTGTTACAAATTTTCAGTTGGACTAATGCAATTTACACAACACTGCCAATCACATATCAATCTTATAATCATCCATATTTAAATGTATGTAAGTAAGTCCCGTGAAGCAAATAGCTCTACAGTGGCATACTGCATCTGTGTATGTAGCTATGTTCATCTACAGGATAACCTCTGTATCGGGTCAGCAGAAGTTAAACTTACAACATTTTCCATAACCACGCAACCCAATGACGTTGGTAGAATAATAAAGTAGGTTTTGATATCTAAATCCATAATTTTGCCAATAAACTAACCAAACATACAACCCAAAAACTCCATTTACTTCATGCTAAGGGAAATGTTGCTCTTATTCGTAATAATTGCAGTCGTACCAAACATTTACTAATGATTGCGTACTATTCGTTGCAAGAGAAAGCAAATAAATCTATGTAAAACTAAATACTTAGATATGTCTTATCCTACTGAAACGATTAAAAATGACGAAATCCATAAGCAGCAGTGTATCTCATCTCATCTCAACATAAATGAGACGAGATGAGATACAACTTTGACTACAGTGTCGGACAGATGTCTACGTCCACATAGTCGCGTCAATTTTGATTTTCAAATTGTCACTGAACTACTGAACCAATTTTCATCATTGATATATCAAATTCTCACAAATTTAACGTAATTTCATAAAACATATGAGTTATTTCTGAAAATTCTGGGAAAACTGAGAATCATAGTGCAGAGCGAGAGAGGATGAAATTTGAGCGGACAAAAGTCTACGTCCACTTCACTTTAATTGTCAACAACAAAAATCTCTCCAATTTATAAAATCAGGTAACTTAATAAATCTATCAATAACATATGCCGCATTAATTTTTAAATAATTTTCTTCTTAATTGCACAATGGTTCAGTCCAAAACAAGGTCAGAAGTGGTCGAAAACCGATTTTGGCTCACCGAGAAGTACGCCACGTGCTCAACAAAGTCAACGTTACACCCTCACTTAGTGCTCCAAAGCTATCTACCGAGATCAAGGAGATGTTCGGCAAACAGGTTAGTCCTAGGACCATCCAAAGAACACTGAATAAGGGAAATTTGAAATCCCACAGAGCAGTCCGGAAGCCTCTTATTGTACCGAGGAATGCAACCAAACGAGTGAAGTTTGCCAGAGACCACATTTCCAAGCCACAAACATTCTGGCACATATTTTATGGACTGACGAGTCAAAGTTCAATGTCTTTGGGTCAGATGGGCGTCGTAGAGTGTGGAGATATCCAAAAGAAGCTTTGAATCCAAAAAATCTCAACCCCACAGTTAAGCACGGCGGCGGGTCGGTAATGGTGTGGGGATGCATGGCTTCAAGTGGGGCAGGAAAAATGGAATTTGTTGACGGAATTATGGACCAATACAAATACCAGGGAATACTTGACCGTAATATCCAGGAATCTGTTCGAAAACTTGGACTTGGACGACGATTTGCCTTCCAACAAGACAACGATCCGAAACACTCTGCCACGTCCACCATGGAATACTTCAAGAAAAAAAAATTCCGAAGCTAGAATGGCCTCCCCAATCTCCAGACTTGAATCCCATTGAGCATCTGTGGGACCACATTGAAAGAGAAATAAGAAAAAAATCTTTTTCAGGAATTCCGGGCCTAAAATCCAGAATTCGTGAAGTTTGGGAAACCATTTCTGAAGATGTGACCAAGAATTTGGTAAACTCTATGACTCGACGCCTTGAAGCCGTCCTTAAAGCGAACGGAGGCCCAACCAAATATTAAAAATTAATTGTTATAACATTCCTTATAAATTACAGTTTTTTTTGTATGTTTTCTCTGACTGGACGTTGATTTTTGTCCATCCAATTGTTTTCATTTTGAATTAAAATACATCTCTGGCCTAAAATAAATTTTTTAGCGGAAAACTAATAATGTGCTATGAAATTACGTTAAATTTGTGAGAATTTGATATATCAATGATGAAAATTGGTTCAGTAGTTCAGTGATAATTTGAAAATGAAATTGACGCGACTATGTGGACGTAGACATCTGTCCGACACTGTATCTCACTTAACTTCCATCTCATTTCATCAAGTAGTGAGATGAGCTGAGACGAAGTCTATCTCGCCTCATCTCGTCTCACGGCAACCCTAATTATAAGGATTAATTGAACTTATACAAAAACGTGAGGTTTTAAATCCAATGTTATGAAATGCAGGTCACAACAAAACTAACCTACTAGTGGTACAACTGAGCTTGAAGCAACAAACTTTTGTAAAAATGTCATCCATCATACCCAATTTATAACACATAATCCTTTTTATATTTATTTTCTCCGAACATAAATCAGAGGAATAAATATACATCATTCCACAAACAAAAACCATTTTTAGGCATAGTTCTCATCAAAATTCAGGATAGAAAGTCTGACATCGTCGAACGAGTGGTTTTGACCTGTCGTCACAAGGAACGTGATTTAATTTCATTCCTCTTTGTATTTCAAGCAGCAGGCTGGTAATATCGTCCGGGCGAGGGCGCACGGATTGACGCAGACTTGCTATCCTGGCCAACTCACGGTCCGTCTTTCCAGTCACGGCTGAACATAAATAAATACCAATAATTGCTTCCACGTGAAATGCACACATAACTTCTGCACCTTAAATAATGTCGTATCCGCCGGAGTGAATACATAGGTGACTTAACCCCCTGGGTTATACTGTTATCTCGAAATTTTAAAATTGGACACTTTTTTCAATACGCAATTCATACAAAAAAGGGTCTGAAATTCTGAACATTTTTATGTTTGACTTGGAGTTCCCATGTTCGAAATTTTTAAAATTAGATCCTTTTTCTATGCATTGCTTATAGAAAAGGACGTCTAATTCTAGAATTTCGACTATATTTCTGAGTGGTAGTGAAATTTTACCGTCTGGACCAGCTGGTCTGGTCGTAACATTTTATACAATGATTCTTAAATACTAAGACTGAGGATCAACATTGTAATGAAGGTGGTGTAGTCAAGTGTGTCACACAGGCGGTGATGAGAATTTGACAACAAAATTTTAGTGCACACATGAAAAAAATCATATTTGTCGGTTATCTAAATTCACGCACGTTTAGGAGCTTGACGAACTGGAAGTGGAGGCAGGACAAACTTCGCCCCTGCCAACGGACCGGCTGCTACGGGGGCTGGTTTTTTAATCTTGTTACATGGTTGTGATTGTTGCGGGATTTCTTGTTCTACAGCGGCAGATGGGGTACGAAGGGGTGCCTGTTGCAAAAAGATCGCTAAGCTGTTTGGTGATTGCCCCGATGTTTGAATAGCAGATGGACGCGGGAAGTTTTGGTTTTGACCGTTGACATATAAGTCGCATTGGATTTGACCAGCCGATGGTGGTTCTGATGGTATCTTGGGTAATGAGAATGGGTGTGGCGGAGTAGCCACAGCTGTCGTCACCCAGGGTGGCCTACTCACAATTGGTTTAGGCACTTCGGTCTCGGCTACTTTAACCCATGGTGGCGCCATCTGTAATTGAAAAAAAATTTAAATGCCAAATTATACGCACAGATATTTTAATCGGGTCCACTTTAATTTCTTCGCCACCAAGAATAACCTGAGCTATTTGTCTGTTTTTGTTTTTTTCATACTCGTATTTGGGCGAGTGGAGGGATTTTCAAATATATTTCCACCCAAAAACTAAGATTTTTAAATTTCTGTAACTTTTTTAATTTTGGATCGACTTTAAAAATCTAAAGATATGCACGTTTAAAAATATCTAGGTCGTCGACGTACCATACAAAAATTAGTTGTTAAAAAATTTTGTTAATTCGAATTTGTTCCACCTTTCTAAAATAAAAAGTTGGCTGGAAAATTGAATCTGTAGTGTGACAGTAGCTCAGTATTACGAACTGGTAGAATGTTAATCCTAATTAATTACTGATTTATATCATATGTACCTGCGTGATTTTATAAGATTCTTGAGTGTTTGGAAAATACATTGAAACTAAAAATGTGATTATTTTACCTCTCCGTTAACAATTACTAATTAATAACAGTTAATAATTTCGGGAATCAACTTCAACTTAAATCGTTTTGGAATTCTCGTTTTTTTTTACTTTATTTACTAAGATATGTATGTATCTTAAGATCAAGCTACATACATTTTAATCACGGATGTGTTAATGCTTTTATTTTAAATGTGACGAATTTGTATATTTGAAAATACAAAATTGTATTAATTTCACACAAGCGGAAGTCTCCTTTCTTGTAGGGGAATCTTATTTTCCGACTTGTGTCCTAAGAAATATGTATGTGGAATATGTAAAAGTCGGATGGAAAAACCTCGTCATGCACAATCAGCATGCAGTTATGTAATCAGGTCCATTTTTAACAGCGCATGTTCTACATACGTATCCAATAACACCCACACCGATAATGGTTGAATGTATAACACACATATGACATTGTGCACACATACTCACAATGGAGGTCTCCCAACGTATGCTCGCAGATTTGGACGAAACTGGTGTCAATTGATCACAAATTAAATTAGTATGAAATTTGCAAATGCAACTATCTGCAAATACGCAGGATTGGCGGAGATATTTGCATAAAAAGAGGCGAAAACGCCCCCAAAATGCCATCAATGTTACACTTTTCGAATTTTGCCTTACAAATTTGCGAGTTTTCACCTCTTTTTATGCAAATATCTACACCAAACCTGCGTATTTGCAGATAGTTGCATTTGCAAATTTCATACTAATTAAATTTGCGATCGATTGACACCAGTTTCGTCCAAATCTGTAAGCATACGTTGGGAGACCTCCATTGTCAGTTAAAGTGTGTGTCTTTACAGGACCTTGTTTTTATACGTAGTTGGCTCTGGCTGAGTCAGTCAGCAGAAATCCATCATAAATCTCAACTTTTTTTATAAATAAACCGTTGTAACGTTAGAAGTAGCTCACCCTGTAATAATGATTTTAGCATAATTTTGCACCAATGGTGCAGAATTGGCAGATAAAATAGATACGCAATTTTGGCATAATTTTGCATTAATGTTGCAGAATGGGCGGACAGAAGATACACATAATTGTGATATAATTTTCCATCAATGGTGGAAAATAGACGAGGAAAATGCATCCATAATTTTGACATAAAATCGTGACAAATTCGAAGTAAAAATTCTAGTTATTTTTCTCGGTTCTTATGCACGTTTGGTGTGTTTTGCATCTATCTTCTCAATTCTTTGGCACCATTTTGTGTCACCGACTGTTCGAGACCAATGGTGCTACTAATTTGCTAAAATTTGCACATGGGGCAAATTAGTTAGCATCAATTGATGCAAAAACCTCGTCAACAGACAGACGGACAGACGGACAAGAGGAATTCAATAGCTCTCTTGCTACGCAGGGCGAGCTAATAAGTATGCAATCGTCTTGGTTTATGGGGAGAGAATGAGTTACATATCGGCCAGCCACCTTATACATAAGTTCTCATATTATTAATGAAAGTGTCGTTATTATGAAGATTGTTATTCTGGTGGTACTCACGTCAAATATATGAAATCGTCACCTTACTAAACACTGTTATATTTGTGTAAATGTTACCCAATTGTCCATATTGTCCGTTTTAAGTATGTATGAAATGTCACTTTGTTATTTTAGACATGGTCATATTATTTATATGCGGTGCATATGTATTATGCAGAAAATATCTACTTCTTATTATCAAATTATCATGCAACGTGCCATGTATCGTGGTCGTTAAATAAAAAGTGGTCACATATTTCACTTATATAGCCTCTCCACCTTCTTCCCACAAATTATAGCATTTTGGTACCAAATAGTGAAATTATGTGATATTGATTTGTCAATTACATTCACTTTTTATTTTATCCGACTACATTCAATCTCCATATGTCAATAAATACAAAATTATTATTCCCCACACTCAAAAAAACGTAGTAATAATCATTACTGTTTGGAATGACTATGTGGCTCTACCACGTCGGGTATAGATTGTCACAAAAATTGTAATAATATTCTCTGCGAAATTCAAATTTATTACAGTGTGGAAACAAAATAAATACCGCACTGTAATAAATATGAATTTCGCAGAGAATATTATTACAATTTTTGTGACAATCTATACCTGACGTGGTAGAGCCACATAGTCATTCGGAATGACACATTCCAAACAGTAATGATTATTACGAAAGTATGAAAATCTTTTTCGCAATATTCTTTGCCAATTTTTAAAATAATCTCCAGAGCTTCTGAGAATGCATATGCTAACTCAGTAACTACAAAATCTATAATTGAACTATTGACGTCTTTGGCAAGTACAGACGAGCAAAATTCTCCTAAATTCTTAACTAGTAAGCTAATTCCATTTTCAACAGAAATGCTATCAAATTCACAAGAAATATCTACAATATATACGTTGAAGATACACATAATTCTAAGGCCACACACAAGCTTTTCATCTCCTTCCAATGGTCATCATAGCCCTGAAAGTCCCTTTTATAATTCCCCTCATAAATTTCAAGATAGTCAATCTTTTAACTGTGAACACCCCATCCGCCCCAACGATTATTGGTCGACAAGCTTTTCTCGCTTTTGAAAAATATTTCCTTTCCAAGACATTCCTACATTTGATTCCTTTCCAGGACTTGAGTGTTCTTTGTGATAACTGAAACAAGTTTCCTGCCACATGGAGAAATGATGTCCATGAGATTTGCACTACAAAGCTCCAAACGATGAGGAGTATCTGAAATAATTAAGTATGATATTTATCAAATGTAGGGTTTCTAGTGGAACTAGTCATATTAGAATTAAGTAGCGGGAATAAATCAGTTGTTTCATATAGCATCAATTTGCCACAACTAGAATGTTCCGCTAATTATATACAAGTGTTGGTTGATTATAGATAATGTCAGTACTAAATTATGACAGTGAATGCAATGATGTCCACGAATTAAGGCAATTCAAAAATGTAACTAATCTGCTAAATTGTTTTCTTCATACCCTGGTCATCGGATTTAATTGGTCCCAATACTTGATCACGGAATAGTTGCAAAATAAAGCGAATTGGCCAAACAATCCGTGTATAGCAAGAAGCCAGATTCCATAGATGTAATTGATTTGTTTGAAAATAAGCTGCAAACTGATGAACTCGTGGATTAAGTTGTACCCATAGCGGAGTGATCGGTACGTCTTGTAACGTTTCCCAGACTTGATGTATAATCCCGAACTCAAAATAGTATAGCCGGAAACTGTAAACAACGTTTCGACATGGCTTAGGCTTTAAATTATACCTAAATAAAATAAAATCAATTAAAAATGGGGTAGATTTTTTACAAGCGTCATCTTCCAGATGCATACAAAAATAGTAAAATTTGGCTATCCAAAACTAGGGTTGTGGTGAGACGAGATGGACCTCGTCTCATCTCATCTCACTACTTGATGGAACTTAAATGAGATAGTCAAAGTTGTAGCTCATCTAATCTAGTCTCATTTATATTAAGATGAGTTGAGATGAGATTAGATACATTGCTACTTATGGATCTCATCTCTCTGCAACTCATTTCATCTCATCATAAGCTCGTCTCATCTCATCTCATAACAATTTGGCGATCTCATGTGAGATCTCATCTCATATTGCCGGCTTCTCATCTCATCTCATTTCATGATGAGATGAGATGATCTCATGATGAGATGAGATTATCTCATCTCATCATGAGACTAATAGTCTCATCTTATGGGGAACCCTACCCCAAACCCGCAAACATCCATCAGCAACAAGACACTTTAAACACTGTAATCAATTATTATCCATGGAGATAACATTAATATGTACGGTTGCTTATTTTTGAGGCAACGATTTTGCATTCAAGTATTGGATAAAATTGTGTATGGAGTTCAACCCCATTTCTTTCTGCAATCATTTATCAGATAAATGGATTTGAGTTTCGAAAAAATAAGTGATATCACCCTTTTACAAAAAGTAATTATCTCACGAATATATATTCGCGTAATATATTCGATCATAAGATAACGTTATCTAAAATATATGGACGTAAGTAATGGAAAAATTACCTGCAAAAATTAAAGCAATGATCGCATTTGACAGCAACGATTCGTAGACGATGGTCGTGTAATACGTGAGGAAGAGGACATGCCCATAATATATTGGATACCAATTTTGCCACTCTATGGGAAGCAGGGTCACATGGAATATGGGAGTGTCTGGAAAGGAACAGTAGTAAGCCGTGTTTGTCCAGAATAGGGAGTTGCACGACGCGGCCAGCAAAATACAACATATGTCCAAGACTATTCCAGGCAACGGCATGGACCGCAGAGCCATTGGATTGTATTGACCTTGTATCATCCATATGCCTAAAAGGAACGAATTATGGTCAAAATTTAAAAATTAGACGCCTTTTTCTATAAGCAATGAATATATAAATAGATCTAATTTTAAAATTTTGACCATAGAAAATATAAGTCAAATATGAAAAGGTTCAGAATCCGTCAAAATTCTAAAGTTAGACCCTTTTTGTATGCATTGTTTTTGAAACAAGTGGACGCATTATTAACAACCTTTCTTGAATTATAAACGACGTTTTGACATATTTTCTAAATTGTGAGTAAATTTAAGTTGACGGATTATTAGCAGTATTTCGTTTTTTACAAAATTTCGACCCAGATGGTATGCTTATCAGATTAATTTTAAACATATTCATTTTAACAATGTTTATGTGTATTAGGAACAAATCAAAGTTAACAAACTATGCTCACACCTAACGTGTGCATAAGGTGTCTAGTTTAATAATATCTTAGTAGCAATAACTAAATTGGGTGTTTAGTCGTGAATAACAAAATTCCGAATTACTTACAAAACTTCCATTTAGCAACAACATATCTAATGAATCCGTTGTATCATAAAAATTGATACCAGCTCGATTAGTTGTATTCAAGCTGGCTCAAGCGGCACCTTAAAATATTTTGGACTCGAATTGGTCAAGAGGGTATCTCCATTCAAGGCAGTGGCCAAATATTATTCCAAAGGTCTTATGACTTATTAACAACGTTCGAGTTGGTAACAAAATTATGAATTATTAGCAAAAAGTTATCATCAGTTACTGCATGCTCAAATTGACAGCAGCTCATCTTGATTATCACGTATTACGTCCATCGTTGAACAAAACGTTAATAACGTTTAATAAATTCCATATTTCGATCGTGTACTAATTAATACGAGAAATTCAATTATTTTTCAAAATCCTGCAAAGTGGAAAATGGGGCCCAAATTCGAGGCAGTGGCCAAATTCTGGTGCAAAATAATTTTTTAAATTATTTCCAGTGATATTCGGCCGAGTTTTG